CCTAACTGCAACCAACTGGAGAAATAGAAATCATCATGGGTGGAAAGGTATTAGTCATTCACAGGTTAAAGACGCATTTTTTTTTTTTTTTTTGCCAGCTGGTATAATCTGGTAATGACACACCATGTTCAACTATGGTCTTTTATTTTCAACTGAGATTTGTTGGCTGTGGGAGAAGCTGGAGAAAAGCAGCAAGAAGCGATGGGTGGAGCTGCTTGTCTCTCAGGATGGACAGAGGGTTGGCAGGACCAGGAAAGAGGCAGCCAGCAGCTATATTTGATGAAAAAGTAGTAATGGGTGCAGCAGGAGAAAATCATTGTTAGAAAGTAATGAGGAGACAAAGGCAAAAGGAAAGAGCAGGATGATGGACCAGAAATCATTGCAGACCCACCAAGACCTCTGAGGGCGTGCAGCCATCATGCCAGCCCTGGCACAGGCATGCAAAGCAGCTAATGCCTCCTTCTCCTTACTGCTCAGCGCTCCTGAGGCTGCTGCCACCACCTGAACTAGCGATCCTCTGCATCACCCAACAACCCCCATGATGCTAATTTTCTGTTGAAATCCACCGTAGTCATTGAATGTTTTCAGATCAGTAGAGTCAGGATTTCTTTCCCAGGCTTGTAAATACTGATCAGAATTAAGGCTTGCTGAATTTAAAATTTCAATACGTTGACTTAATGCCAATATAAAAAAGTAGGCATTTCATAGATTCACAGAATAGTTTAGTTTGGAAAGGACCTTGAGAGGCCAGCTGGCCCAAACTCTGCTGAAAGCAGGGCCAGCTTCACAGTTGGATCATGTTGCTCAGGCACCATACAGATGAGTTTCGAATGTCCCAAAGGAGGGAGGCTCCACAGCCTCTCTGAGAAACTTGTTCCAGTGCTTAAACACTCCCACAGTGAAACATCCACAGCAGCTTCTTCTTGTTGCCCATCAATTGACTAGAATGAGACTTTTTTTACAAAACTGAAATTCTGACAGCATATGACACTACACTGTAACAATTTAAAAGGACTTTATTTCAAAAAGAAAATTTCGCATGTTTTTTTTAAACCAGGCCAGGGTATGTTCCAATTATAATTACTTTTTACCTCATTACCTATGCAGCGCAATATCTGTAAGGTCATGGCATCAATTTTTGAAATCACAATACAGTGTCATAGAAGAAGTCAGTGCAAAAGATGACATCAAAAAAGCAAAGGAAGAGTAAGAAAGCAAGGCTGGGTTTTCAGAGGCATCTAGGGCACTGCAATTTCGAAGGGATCTTAGTACCACCATTCATTAAGCATACTATTGATGCTGACCCCACTACAGCCCATATTTATGAGCAGATAAAAACCCATCTGTTCCTGAAAGAGTTTCGAAGTGAAGGCAATACCTACTTAGAGAACTGCAAGAACACTATTTTGTTTCCGTCATGCATAATAAATTTAGCAAAGGGAAATAACAAGCACAAGCTTATTACTCACAATTGTTGACAACAGTGTGTTTGTCAACCAGCGATACTATGGAGGCACCTGCACAACGCTGTTATTAATAGTCATCGCAAAGCCAACGGGAAACTAAACATCGCAGAGTGCAGGAGCAGGAGCTGGCATTTACCATCATACAGTAATCCTGTCTATATTGGAGACTTCTGAATGGGGCCAACGTGAGCACAGAGCAGCAGAAATAAAGGGTGATTTCCAGCACCTTCCAGTCACCAGGCAATGCATGTTGCAGCCACCCCATCCCACCCGCCAAATGTCAAACATGACCCTTCCATTGTGACAAGAACCACATAAAGTGGCGAAAAGGTGAAATGCACTGTCTCCTTCCTTTACTGTCAGCAGCTCTCACTGGAGGCGTTTCCTTATCACGCTTCTCCCAACTCTGGCTGATTTCTAAATTTTAAAATGGTGGAGATACCAAACTGACATGGAACAGGGAAGAATGCAGGTTTTAAAAACTGAATTATGTCTGAAAAGCACATCTTAAATGCCTCACCATGTTCTGAGTTTTGCATGCTACTGAACCTAACAAGATGTACTCACACTACAGAAGGGAGAACAACTACTTTAAATGCCCTGAGATCATGATTTTTTTCTGCTCTGTACAATTAAATAGCCTTTGCTCTAAGCAACCTGCAACTTTTAAGGGAAAATGCCCAGAAACTACAAAATCCTTTTGCAATAGGTTGTGCTAATGCCCTGAGACCACAGTCTGTTCCCTTCCAACTACCCTGTAAATTCCCAGTTTTGCTTTTGAGTGGGGAAGATAAGCTTGATCCAAGGTAAACACGGTTTCCAATCTTGAGATGGTAAATGCACAAACCCCTACGCTATGACCATGATAATTTATTTTTCCCCTTTTCAAAAATAGCATGTCACAAAGGGATCTGAAAAACTGTCTCTGGTCTCTCCAGGTGTCACAATATTTCTGATCTGCCGATAAAATGGATACAGCGAGGAAAGACTCTCGCTCTGGCACTATGTCTGATTTGTGTGACTCCTTCACACATTACTCCTCTGCCAGCAAACAACGCTCTGCTTGACGGGAGTCCAAAAGAAAAATTGCTCTTGTGAAGCCAAAAACTTAAGAGAAGGAACAGAATTACCACTGTCAAAACCATCTCTTGCCCAGTCTAGTATCTGTCGTACAGGGTACACTGCACTCCCAGGAGCCACTGGTTCCCCTGGGGCTTGCAGGCAGCTGCCAACTTCCCCTGCCACGAAGAGATTCACTCTCTCTGCCTGCCTTAATGATTACTGTAAATTCTTGCAAAATCAGCATCTCAGCCCACCAAACTGAGGCACCGTGACACTCGTTCTGACAGGGTCTCTCATTTTGCTTGCAGTTAAGGGTACCAGTAAAATGATAAAACAAGCAATGCAAGAATCCTTCAAGTACCTGCTTCTGAAACAACCCAACACCTAAAACGAGACCTTCACATCACATCACATCTGGCAGCTTCTTATCTAACAAAAGATCTTTATATACTAAAAAAAGAAAGCATCAGAACATTTAAACAGTATTCCTCACTGAAAAAATCAGACTTTCCAGGGTGAAGCCTGCACTCTGACACCTGATGAAGCCACGCTCCTGGTCTGGCTGAACGCAGAGCACCTTCTGCAGCCTCAGAGCCAGCATGCAGTCACTGATGGTGTTAAATCCATTCCCACGAGTACTTACACTGCTTTCAACAGATAAACATGACAAAATTAGCTGGGACAGAACTGTACACAGTTCAGTCGCTTTCAAGCTAAGCACAAATTTCTGTTGCTACTTAGATGCCTAAAACCAAAATTATTAATCCAATTTCCTATTCATTCCCCGATTCTTCCATTTCTGGTGAGCAAAGCTGACCCTGCCTTGATTCTTGGCTGGAATCACATCTTCTCTCTGGAGATGAAGCTGTGTATTCTATATGTTGTCACCCACACATAGTTATTTAGTAAAATGCTTGAGAAACAATGTAGTTGAATTGACAAAGAAAAATCCACTGTAAGAAAGATGACTGCAAACCATTTACAATTGCTTTAACTTTCAAACAATTCAAATTACTTTAAAATCAGGCATTTTCATGTTTTCAAGTCTTTATTCAAGCATGTGAATTGCCTTCAGTTTGTTTAATGAATGTTTTTCATTAAAAGGCCATAATTTAATTCAATTCATAAGAAATTATTGAAATGGGATTAATAAATTAAATACCTCTATGGACATTAAGATCAAAGCTTATGCAAATTCTGTTGACAGTATGACAATTTCATTTTTTGGCCGTTCTGTATAAGCAAGGGTTTTCCTGTTCTCCTGAGTTACACACAATATCTATACCTTACTGAATATACTACTTTAATCTCTAGCCAGCTTTTTCCATGCCTGTAGACAAAACAAACAGTAATCCAAATATGAACAGAGGAATTGCTTCAATTCAAATGTGACATTAACATGACTCCAATAATGAAAACAAAAAAGCTAGTAAAAAGCTATTAATCGTTTTATCAACCAGTTCTCCTAAAAGCTTCCTAAAGAAATTCCTCCACATTGGTCTGAAACTGCCTGTCTGCAATGGATGCAACAAATCCATCTGACAAGGCGTTAAATGGCCTGCAAAACAGAGTGATGCCACTTGACAGACACAAATATGCATACTTCTTTTATTAGTGAGTGTACAGCATTATTTACTTTAGAAACATCTTTTTAACCAAGAAGTATATTCACCTGTACTACTGACATCAGCAAAGATGATTAAAAATTAATGAAATTTCCTTTTCCTTTCCCGTCAGTTTCATTTGTATATATATTCTGTCTGGCATAAGCTCTGCATAGGAAAAAGCATTTTGCCTCGAGTCTTCACTTCAGCACCTTTATGTTCTGGTTGTGCTTAGCCATGGTTTTACTGAATCTGCAGACAAGTATTATTTGGGGTTTTGGTTTTGTTTTGGTTGGTTTGTTTTACAAGGGTTAAACGCAATACAGTGACATGTAGTAGAGTGGAAGGACTGTGTCAGTCTTTCACAGTTCATCACACCTGGCCACACACAACAGACGTACTGACACATCCAAACATGTAAAGTGGGCAGTTCTCTGCTGTGGGGGCCAATGACATTACCGACATACTTTGCTCCTATACAATGCTGAAAACTCTCCAATTTTCAAGAAGATACACAGCCAGACAACACACAGTTGCCAGGACTGTGGCAGAAGCACGTATTTTGGGAGAAAGAAGGAAAACTCATAAATCTCTACTTGCAGGTATGCACCCTACTGAATTCAACTACAGTGCCAGTCTGTACCACACTAATTCTGATTTTTGAGTAAAAACAGTAAATTAAAATATGAAACACTGACCCTGGGTTCTTCCCTTTTGCTAACTGTACCAACAGTGCAACACTGCTCCTGGAGAGGGGACCCTCCATAACCCCACCGCTGCAGAGAGGGGAAGAGGTGCAACAGCAGGCAGGCGTGAGCAACATCAGCCCTTGCCCCTGGCAGTGAGCATCACTCTCCCAGCACTTTACCTGACGGTGTGCTAGCTGCTGTCATGGCTGTGCTCGTTGAGTGTGCAGGGCTGTTGCTTTCCAACAAGAGACAAGAGCTGCCACCACTGCTCTTCTTAACAAATGTCTCGGGGGCACTGGGCAGGGGCACTGGGTGGCTGATTCCCAGTTCTTCTTCCTGAGCTTGCTGCCTTCTCAGCGCAACCTGGGAACAAAAAGAGAGACATAGGGCATCCCCTCCAAATTGAGCACAATTCATAATGGCAACAATGAAAGACTCAAACTCAAAGCTATTTTTCCCTCTTGGTACTCTCTGCAGTGTTGATGTCATGATCCAGCCAGTGGGTAGAGGAGGTTATGAAGATATTTAAAACCAACCTCTTATTTTGTCCAAACGTAGATGAACAAACCTGTGAAATGCTGGTGCCATATACATCTTCCTCCAACAGGGCCACATGAATATGTATTAAAGATGACTGCACTCACTCTACATAGTTGCTCTTGGGTAAAGCATACTGCAAAAAGTGCAGTTCTCTGCTGAAACACAGCTCCTGGGGATAAGAAATTCATCTACTCGCAGGGCTCTGCTGTGTCTTTTCATCAATATAAAGCAGCTCTTCACAAGGGCTTATCCCTGCAATCTGCTCTGTCCAAGCCTGCCGGGCTCCCTTGCTGGCCCTTCAGCTCCCAGGACACCGCACACAGAGAGCCATCATGGAAGAAGCACAGTGGATGTAGGGAACCACCCTGTGAGCATCTCAGCCAGCATCACACACATTGCAGGTGGCTGGCCAGGCCTGCAGCAGCAGGAGCTCCCCATTTCTTCCCCAACACCGATATGTTCTAAAGGTTAGCTGGCACTGGCCAAGCCCACAGGCACTACACAGTCTGGACATGGGTGAAAACAAACCGTATTTATTGCTTACTGAAGATATGAAGGGCCCCTTCTGCCTCATCTGAACCTGCAGATCAATTTTGCACAGCTGTCTGCCCATGCCAAGCCATGATACGTGCCCAGGAGGTATATATGACATTGCAGGCCTTACAGCTACCTACCCTGCAACTTGCCAGGTGGCTGATTTGCATCTGCATTTGAACCGTGGAAATCTGTCCCAGATTACAGACTGGAATCACGGACTTTTCTTACTGGAAGTCCCTCTGGCCAACTTGGACAGGACTTCCCTCCTCCATTTCTGTGTTTAACAGCAACATTTTTCTAATACAGATGCATTACACTGTTAGCAAAATTACTAACAGCTCTTGCAATAGAAATATCCCAAACAGGGGGCATAACTTTGACTTTGCAAGCCAATAACCCTGACCTGGAAAATTCCACCAGCACCAAGGGGCCTACTGCAGAAATACATCAAAAGGGGGAAAGACAGACTTTCAGTAACTCCTACACAGATAAGGTTTAGTTAGGGAGGCTTTCAAAGCCACTTTCAAATACTAGGCAGGGAAGAGAAAACCTCCAGGAGGGCCACTGGCAGAACCCGCTAGCAGGGGGCATTCACCACCTGTCAGAAGCTGCTGGGCAGCTGGAGAATTGAGTGGGGAACACCCCACTTCATGCCCCCTCCCCCGAGGCAGGCAGCAAAGGGATCCACACTCGTTATTCCGTGTGTCACACTGGGCTGAGAAAGTGCATGTAACTTGGGCGTAATAAGAATTTCTGGACTGCCATGCCACGAAGGAAGAATTATTTAAATGAACAAAAGCTGCCAGCGAGTTCAGAGGACATTTAGCATACCTGCACTAAATAATTAAAAAAAAAAAAAAAGTGGAGAAGGATTTAATCCAGGGCTGCTAAGGTTTTTAAAATCTGTCAGTGGGACACTCATTTTATGCAGGATCAGGAAGCTCCGAGTGCAGCGGGTCGGTGGGTCTGACATCCCTGGCCTTTACCTGCACCGGTAATCCTAACGCCTTCTGATTAACTTGTCTGAAGGGAACTATTTGCATGAAAGAGAATGTGTAACCCCACTCTCAGAGCTCCAGCACGCTGGCAGCCATCGAACCCCCAGGTATCCTCTTCGTGAAGTTTTCAAGATAAGGATCACAAAGACTATTACGGCAGTCATTTACACCTCATTTACACCGCCACAGAGTTGTGATTTCAGCGGGACTACCTAATGAAGGAAGTTATTCCTAAACAGAACTGGATGCAGTTTGGTTTTTTTTAGCGAATACTAGGGAGTCCTCGTTTAGATTTAAGATGACCCACCTATACAGCTACTTAACAGAGCCGCTTTGTACAAAATCAGGGACAAGGCCGTTAAGAGTCTTTTCAGGAAAGCAGTCAACTAAAGCATGAGGAAAAGCAGATACACCGAACCTGAAACCGCCAGCGGGAAATACCTCGCTAACCGATTAGCTGGCTAGGTTATCCGTTACCTAGTTAAAAACGAGTTGAAATTTGACGTTAAACAGAAGCCTTCCTCCCTGAAGGGTTTACAACAGACCCGTGCGGCTCTGGGCTGCCGGCACGCTCGGCTTTGCCCCGTTCGAGGCGGGGATGCACTCGGGCGTCCTCAGCGGCCGGCTCGCCGCTACTTACAGCCCACGCGCCTTCAGGGCATCCCCTGCTTTTATAACAAAACAAAACAAAAATAAAATAAAATAAAAAACAACAAACCAACGGGAGAAAAAGCCAGCGGAAAGCCGAATGAATTTAGGGAAGCCGGCGGTGTAGCTCCAGCCCGGGGACCGTCTCCCCCGCGGCCGCGCAGCCTGTGCGCAGCGCACCGCGACGCCGAGCTGCTGCGGGCACCGAACCCCGCCGGGCGCGGAGCAACCACCGCACCGGGCCGACCCCGGCCAGGCGGCGGCGGCGGCGGCGGGGAGGGTCCGCCCCGCGGGGCTCACCTGCGCTGCCATCACCCGCTGCCGCTCGGCGATCAGGCTGCACTTCTTGCACTGGCAGTCCCGCCACATGCAGAACCGCTTGTGCCCCTTCAGCGGCGAGGAGTAGCCGTGGTTGCGGCAGCGGGCACACTTGGGCAGGCGCGGCGGCTTCTTCCCCGCCGTGGCGGCGGCGACCCCGTCCGTTGGGGCGGCCGCCATGAGATCCGCCGCCTTCCCGAAGTCGCCCGCCTTGGCTGCCGGCCCCGCGGCGTCGGGCGGCTTGCTGAAGGCCGGCGAGTCACTGGGCATCGCGGCGGGCTGGGGGCCAGCCAGGCGAAGGGGCCGACGCGTCTCTGCCCTGCCCAGTCCCGTCCCGTCCCGTCCCGTCCCGTTCCACCACCCGGAGCGTTTTGACGGGCAGCGGCAGCCCCGCGTCGCCCCTCCCGCCACAGCCCCCCCGCCTCGGCCGGTCCATGCGGCCGCGAAGCCCGCTCTCCCCCGCGGAGCAGGCGGTGCCGGGGTGGGGGTGGGGGGGCGGGGAGCGGCCACCCCTCCTTCCCCTGTCCTCCCCCACGCCTGGGACCCGGCGACAGGCCATGGGCGGGGTGGCCCGCGGGCCCCCGCTGCGGGCTGGAGGTGGCCGCGGGTCTCGGCTCGGCCCGTCCGCAGGCTCCGCACGGCCGGAGGGGGTTCGGCCGCCGCCCTGCCGCCCTGCCGGGGCAGGCCCGGGCCGACTCCAGCGCGGTGGCGGTGACCCGGGCGGGATGCAGAGAGGCCATTTTCGAGTGGCGGGGTTGGACGGGCCCGCTGTGGTTAGGCCGCCGGCATGTCCTGGGCCAGGGGCGGGTGTGACCCCCCACAGAAAACACCCGAGTTGCCGCAGCCCAGCTGCTCTCCTTCGCGAGGCTTCTGGCTCCTTGCTGGACTACGCCGCCTGTTTGCAGGTTACCTTACACTCGTATCCCAGCAAGCACACTCTGACCAGGTGCTGTGCGGGCGGGGGATCCCAACAGACGGAGGCGGGCAGGGAGGCCTCGGTGGCAACCGGGTTAACCGGCGCCTCTGGAGAGGGCGTGGGTGGCTGGAGCAGCTGTACTCCCCAGACGAAGACCAGGGAAGATGCTTTTTCTTTTTTACATAGGCTCTCCTTCCAACTTGGCACTGTGTGATTTATAGACCCATGCAGCTCTACAGATATTATTTACAGTATTAATATTTCCTCTGTTACACCTTTAAATCTTTCCGGGCTCAACTTTAGATGATGCTATCTTCATGCTGAAATGAAACTATTAAATTACATCTCAATCTAAGATGAATGACAACTGTCAAATGAGTGACTCAGGTGAAGCAGAAAGCGCCTGAGATTATGTGGGGCTGATTTATAAAGATTGCATAAAGATTTCTATAACCCTAGCTTCATGACTCAGCATATCAGATGGTAATAAGTTACAGTAGGTAGAAATTTATTTCTGCTAGAAGAAGCTAAGGAAAGCTTCTCCCTCTTCGAGATCAGCTATCTCCCACCTAATTCTGCTCAGAACTGAGCCTCCCTGCCAGAAACAATCAGTGCCTATCGCAGCCTGAAGAAAGCCCCAGGTCCTCGCTGCTTGATGCTTTGCATTAGCTTTCAATACATTACATTTAAAGAACTTTTTTCCTTTGTGGTACAGCACTGGAGACATTTCTGGCGCTTTCCATCTTCCAGAGAGACCATGTTAAAATACTCCTGTTAAGCCCCCATCTTGAGCAGTCAGATGGTCCTCAAATGAGGCACCAACAGATCTGGGTAGGCTTGGCGCAGGGATATAACGGTCATTCAATTCACAGAAACGGAAACTTTTCCCTTGCATCACTTTGCTGGGATTGACATTTCTGATGTCAGTAACTGCAGATTTTCCTGTAAAAGAGAAGATGAATACAGTGTTTAGCCGAGCAAAAATATGATTTGCCTATGTACCTAATGGTGCATATCACTAATAATTAAGGCAGTGAACAATGCAGACAAGCATGCTTAGCTTCCTGTATCAAAACGTGAAATTCCTCTCTGAATGAAACCAGTTGAGATCTTCTCAACTCATATGGGCATTGATCATGCTCCCAAGTTGTTGTCTAGGAATGAGTCTTGAAAGTGAAACTCTAGTTTGTGAAGTTCTATGTGTGGTTCAGCACACGTGCAAGGATGTTTTTGGGTGCTTGCATGCAAATTGTATTGAAGTCAATTAAAAAGGCAAATTAAAAAGGAGATAAAAGTAGGCTAAATCAAAAGAACAAGAAAGGCAAAATAAAAATCAGCAAACCGAGGTATGCAAATGTAGGATAAGAAGAAGCACATCAGAAATGACAGGAGGAGAGGGAAGAGAAAAATTGGAAAGAGGGAAAAAGAAAAGAGACGTACCATGCATAGAGCAGGCAAAGACAGACAAAGGAGAGATAATAGCAGTCACCAGCTGCTTGTATATGACTTTTCACTACAAACTGGGACAGCCAAGCTCGGAGTTGAATCACAAGATGCAAAAAATGGAACAGTACCAAGCAGAACATTAATTTGTCTGCCTTTCACGTAACTAATATTTTCTACTCCGGCTTTTCAGGCTAGCTGCACAGATCTGTATTATCCACAGTGTTACAGAACCTACCAGTGAGGAACAAAATACTAATATTATTAGTACCTATCTAGTATCTTGTTTTCTGGCTGAATACCACCAAAATACCTAGATGTGTGATGAATACAAGTAGACAGTCCATCCTTTAACAATTAATTGCTTTGGGTTTGCTAGCTCAAGTTGCACTTTGATTATGGTTTTAGTGTGTAATGTTTGTCTCACAGTTTTTTGATGGATATTTGGTGAGGATGGCAACACATTACTGGATCTGACATCTGTTGGAGTCATGAAGGAGTAGGAGATGGTTATAAACTGCCAACAGTACTGACACGAATCAGAGCAATCTCACTGCAAGATTTCAGGAAATTGTAGTCACTCATTTAATGTAAGCCTGGGCCTCTCTGATTTGAAACAGCAATGATGTTAGCGACTAAATATTATTGCAGTTTGCCGGCACCTTTGGAAATAGCACTACTTAATGTTTCTGGTTAAAAGAAACACTAGAATCAAGTTACATTTTCACTTTTTTTTTTTTTTTTTTCTAGGTAGCTGAGTTATCCTTTAGCCTTAAGTTTTTGCACAAGTCTTTAAAGAACAAAATGTGATCTGTTAGTGACAGTTGTCCTTTGCAAATGCAAGCCTTTGGCTGATCCCTTGAACCTTGCAAAAATGTTTTATTTGCTAGCAAGATCATAATTTTGAGGGACAGATGTGAACAAGCCATGTGCCCACCACTCCAGTTGGCATGACTGAGCATCTCAATAGAGAGGTTGCAAATTAAAGAGGACTCAATTCTGACACCACTGCCTGGAAAGGGAAAACCTTTAGTTTCACAGAAGTCAGGGACGTTGAGTGCATTTAGTTAAGTCCATTTTAAAGATCTGATAGATCTGATTCTGTTTAATAACTTTTTTTGCTGTCAGTGGGTCAAGCCAGAGGGGTTTGGCCCCTTCTGCTCACAGCAGATCTTTTTGCCTCTCCCAGGTCATTTTGCAGACTGTATCACCAGATCTGGTTGTGGATTCCCAACCGAGCCTCAGCTGCAGGAGTGGTGAGGGATAGAAGATAAAGTATTCACGCTGCCAGTCTGCATTGTTTGAAAACATCAACATGTCCATAAAAACTCTGGGCATTTAGAACAAAGTATCAAAAACAGCCAGAGGGAACCAAAGAAAGGAGGGAGACGGTGGCTGCATGTTCCCCTGAGGCACTGGCAGGAGCTGGGGAACTCCTCAGTGCCAGACTTTAGTGCTTGCCTGCAGCTTTGGGTGTCTTGGCTGCCCTACAGCCATCAAGGTAGCAGAATAAACAGGTGTACAGCTATCCCCGTCTCCAGTCCTGGAGCTATGTTACTCCACATGTGTCACTTACTTGTGTGAGTCATCGGGTTGATAGCAGCTGGTCTACTGTATGAGTGACAGACATGATCGTGCAACTAAACGGATTGAAAAGATACTTCAGGAAAAATCCAGTAGGTGGCATAAAGAAGCCATGCATTTTTTGCAGTTTCACTTGTATACTTGTGCAGTTCTCTTTCATTCACTCCTTATTTAATCCTTCTTTAACTTACAGGAAAGCTGAAGTTTTGTTCCCTGGCTCTTACAATACCACAGGCAAAGTTTTGTATTCTAGGCAGAGAATTTTCTTGAAACTTTCTGGCAGCATATAGGTTTTGTGTGTGTGTTTTGTTTTTTGGTTTGATGTTGTGGTGGGTTCTTTTTTTTTTGGTTGTTTTTTTTTGTACTCTTTCTGTGTTTGTGTTTTGACACTTTCTGTTTTCAGGTTATACCTCTAAAACTGCCAGCACGACAAGAGAAGATAACGGTTTCTCCCTAGGAGAGGCAGAGCCGAATCCAAACCTTGCATTGAAATATTTGCAATGTTTACAAGAGTTTAAAATCAGCCCTACAGTTGCTATTCCAGACAGTTCTCTGTGTTACTATAACAGAGTGTTGGCACCAGCAGCATTACTCTAGATCAGTGAAACCTGATGAGCCACTGATGGCTTCTGCTAAAAGTCCAGTCAGTCAAGCTGAACCTTTCATTCAGACATAAGATTTCAAGTGCTTCGTTCTTTCTTGCTCCAAAAAATATTTCTAGGGCATGGGGCCTGTAGGTGTAGGAAGCCCCAATGTCCTATTTGGTCCTCTTCTCAGATGCCCTTTTACTTTGCCGTTGTGGTCTCAGAGGCTCATGTTCACTGAGAGAACAATGGAAGCAGTTTATAGCATTGCTGCCACTTGGCTGCCTGGTGCTTTTCTTCAGGGAGAGTCCCTGGGGCCTTCAGGGAGGCTTTTCTTCAGGGAGGTCCACAGCCTCTCACCAGTGAGCTCAGGGGCATCTTGCTGCAACAGTGTGAAAAGCTGCAGTGCTCAGCTCCTCTTGCAAAGACCATGGGTTGTTGCAAAGTGGGTCAGAATGCCTATGCTCCTCAGCACCCTCAGTTCACGTTCTCTTCTCTTGGTGCAAGTCTAGACCCACTGGGAAGATAAGGTGTGACACCCATCCAGGAGACCCTTCAAAGGCTGCAAGAAGGGATGTTCGCAGAGGGGTGGGGAACAGCACCAGCTGTATCCCAGCTTTAGAGGACAGGCCTGTCACAGCAATAGCATGCCTTAATGACCATTGAAATGGGAAATGGCCCTCCACATCGGTAACTTCACATGGGCTGCAGCTGAAAAGGCCACCAGAGAGTCTTGCCTGAGCAAACAGGCGTTTGTTAGCAAGATACACACGAGTCAGAATCTAGGGTTTAATGGCCCAAATGTCAGGGTTATGGTAAAAATTATGTATGTAAAAATCAAGAAAAGGCTGCCTGTGACAATGGATGGCTCTTCCCCTTCATAGTTG